AGAGAGAGAGAGAGAGACAGAGAGACAGAGAGAGACAGAGAGAGAGAGAGAATCTTTTTCTATTAAATTCCTTTAAGACTCTTAGTCCTCCGCATCTCTCTCCCCTGACTGACCGAGAAAAGGGAAACTGGAGATGGGAGAGCACAACTTCCTGCTCCCCACCCCCACCCCTACCCGGGGCGGGGGGGGGGAACCCCTGGGCCTCTAGGGCTAAGAGCTCAGGGCTGCGCCAAGGAGAAATAGGATTCAGGCTCCTAAGGGCCTGAGCTGGTGAAGCCCTAAGTCAGGCGCCACAGGAAATCTCTGAATTTCTGCCTGTCCTACTGTTATTAACCCCTATACCCCACCCCTCTCTCTGGAGCCAATTAAACTCAAATCTGAGCCTCGGCACAGGGAAAAGCTTCTAGGTGGGCCCAGACCCACAGGAGCCCACCCTGGCTGCAGACTTCCTCTGCCCACCCGCTTCTGGCGCTGCATCGCCCGCGTCCGACACCACTGGGCCAGCCTTCCAGACTTAAAACGAAGTCGTTTATTTCAATTTTGCTTTCACATTATGTTTCGATACAATCAAAACTTCTGGACGAACCTCTTTAAAGTCCTGCGAGTGAGTGCAACCGCAGGTCTGGGCGCCCGGTTATTTGGAGGGTGGACACCGGGTTCACGGGCGCTGGTATAAAATGTACGGTGTTTCGGGAGCTGTGGATCGGATAGGGCTGGGGACATCCAAGGACAAAAAGTGTGAGCGGAAGCTGCCACTCCGGGCTGGCTGGTTCAGGTCCTAGAACTGGAATAATTCCTGATGCATTTGGAATTCGGACGGAAAAAAACAAAACAAACCAAAAAAAAAAAAAAAACTGCGCCCCAAGCCCCTAGGCGCTCCACACACAGATTGGGCCACATTTTGGTGTTTTGGCAAAACAAAACAAACCAAAAAAAAAAAAAAAATCGTCGCCCCAGGCCCTTAGTCGCTCGCAACAGGATTTGGGCCAAATTGCTCGGGGACCGCCAAAGCCGGGAACTGGAAGGGCGGAGTGAACCAGCCGCGGGGGAGAGCGCAGCACAGGCTTTGCGAAGAAGCCCTTGCGCGCCTTGACCTCTCTCTGATAGAGTCTTCCAAGTCTCTGCTCTGCCTCGGGCAGCCCCAGCCCCGCAACCTCACAACCGGGAAAATGCGGAGTTTAGAAAGCTGTTTAAGAAAAATAAAAGTCCCACTTCGACTTTATTGGATTAAAGCAAAATTAAATTTTGGCTATTCACACGTATGTTACAGTGGAAGAGGAAGCGATCCACAGAACCTCCTTGGCACTGAGTGGGGCCACAGAACACCGGCATCACAAGCATCAGCACACCAAGCAGCCTTAGATTTCACGATCACTCCGAACAGGACAGAAATACGGAATACAGCCAGCGTCCACCGGGAAGAGGTCTTCGTGTACAAATGATATATATCTATGTATAGTTTAAACCAGTCGCCACGAAGGTGAGTCTTTTCTCCCTAACAAGCCGCTGAGGAAAAAGTATCTTCAGCCAATTAACTCGATCCGTGTAGGATGAGCAAATACTGTTATATTAACACTACCTGCCCGGTTCAGAACAGAAACAGAAAACAAAAACCTTACCCCCTCTCCAAACTGGAGGAAGGGGGGGTGCGGGGAAACATACTAAGTTTCAGTAAGTGAAAGGGTTCAGAGGGGCATGGAGAGAAACGTTTCACGTTACACCGTTAAATTGTTGGGAACGTGAACGTGGGGTAAGTAGCAATGACAATGCAGTCTCTTCCTCGGTTACTGCAATTGGCTTGCGGGAGGCGAGTTTATTTTTGGAAATGGGAGTGCGTAGAGCTAAGCGAATTTACTTCTCTTAATAAGGACACGGACGAAGTTGTTGGCCCGCCGGCGGCGCACACCTTTGAAGCCGGTGTAGCTAGGAACACCTGGAAGTTTCCGGCCGCGCCGCTTCCGTGCCCTGTGAATTTCAGCCTGTTTCTCACTCCCCCGCCAGCCTTCCTCCATTCCCGCTACGAGGCAGTCAGAGGGGAAACACGAGGAATCCGGAGAAGGTCGAGTACTTCCAGCCCCCCATCAAGTTGCCCCTCTCCAGTTTGAGGTATGCCCGGTCGCCTTTCTCCATCTGGATTAGGACTCCGTTGCTCGCGGCCTCGCGGGTCACGTCTTGGTCACCGGCGAAGGCTGAAATCACCGGCCACCCGTTTAACATGAGGCTCACCTGAGAAAGAGAAAGGCCAGCTTCAGATGCACAACCTAAGCGGGTACCTAAGAGGTGGTGGAGACCCAGCCTGGGCGCTCGGCTAACAGCAACCAAGGCCTGGCTGGGGGTGGGAGGTGGGAGAAGAGGGGCTGGGCTGCTTACTGCGGAGGATCTAACAGGGACCCAAGACCGCAAATTTAGGGGGAAGGGTCTACCCCCTACAGCGGCAGTCACTTTTTCCAGCTTCTCAAATGAGCGCGCCAAGCGATCCTGACTGGGCATAATCCAGTTTAGTGAGCCCGCAGGTGGCTGTAGCTCCTTTGTGGAGGCTTTTGGCCTCTCGCCAGCTTCCCCTAGTCTCAAAAAAGAAAACTTGGGCAACTCTGCTCCAGGCACGCCCTGAATAACAAAAACAAACACCCCGCCCCCGGGGCTCTCCCGGTGTCTGTTGGCAAGGCACAGGGAGACATACCGGAGAAGCTGCCCGGGCAGATTAGAAATCGCGCGCGGAACTGTACTCCTACTTCGTCCCCAAATCACCCGCTCAACTCCCGCCCCAGATCCGGCCGCGCCCGCCACCGCCTGGGTGCGCCCTTGAGGTGGCATCGTCAGCCTTGGGCCCGGAGCCCTGTGCCCAGACGAGCTTTCCTCCGCTGTTGGCGCTCTGAGAAAACCTGGACATCTTTGGGGACCGGGCCAGCGCTTGGGTGCTGGCCGGGACACGGCTGGACCTGGAGGGAGTAGCGCTATCCCCTCCCCCACCCCCGACCTTTTCTCTCTCCACCCTTAGAGATTCAAGTTTTAAAACAAGAGGTTGACCGGAGGGAGGGGAGTTAGGGAACGGGGTCCTGTCCGTGGTGCTGAAGTCAACGCCGGAAGGCTTTGGGCTGGCGCCGGAGCTGAGCCTTGAAAGCCAGAGCGGAGGAGAGCCTACGAGCGGTTGCGGTCCGTGCAGCTTAAAAGCCCTTACAGAAAGTCCCTTACAGAAAATCCCTTACAGAAAAACCCTTACAGAAAATCGGGGACCTTTACAGAGGGGCCCAGAGGGCGAAGGCGGAAAACCGTCTCTGGACAGGATAGGGGCCCCGCTCTGGGTCCCTTGAGCTGCAGGGGCACTCGCAGATGATTTCTCCCTCCCACCTCCAGAGCCCCCCGCAAGGCCCGACAGGCCAGCGGTCCCCTAAGGAGCCAGGGCCCGGCCCCCGGCGGCAGCTGACCTGGATGGTCTGTCTGTTGTAGACTTTTACCACGTGGAAGTTAAAACTGTAGATCCCTTTGCGCGGGGCGATGAAAGTGCTGCGTTCTGAATCAAAGTTGTTCCCGATGTTCACTAGCACCTACACGGAGACAGGAACGGAAGGGGGAGACCCGCGTCGTCCGAGTGCCGTCCGCGCCTCCGCAGAGCCCTCGGAAAGCATCGGGCATCCGACCTCCACGCTCTCCCGCCACCCCCACCAAGCCGATCTGTCGCAGCAAGCGGAAGGGGAACTCACCTGGTCAAAGTAGATGATCATGGTGCGGTTACTCATCTCGGACGGCTCGTGGTTGGTGCTCCTGATGGCAGAGAAAGCCACCTTGGCGCTGCCGGAGCGCACGGAAATGCCCAGAGCCGTGCCCGTGGGGTCGGACGTCGGGTTGGAGTCACACACCACCAGGCATTTGCCCTCCAGCACGATGGGCTCTGTCTCGTTCTGCCCGCGGGCTGGGCCTGCCAGCCACGCAGCCCCCAGCAGCAGCAGCTCCACGACGCCCAGCATCGCGCCGCCGGCGCCCACCCCGCCCCCCACCCCGGGGGCTGCCAGCGCCAGCCGCCCCCCTCC